CTCGAACCGAGCGCCGACGCTGACTTGGTGTAGTCACGTGAAGTGGTGGTCGAGCATGCGAGCCCGTGCTGAGAGACATGAGGCACTGCAGGGCCGATCGTTGACTCGCACGCGAGCTGCAGCCACCATCACCGAACGCAGGAGCTCCCCAAGCGAGTGTGTGGCCGAAACCTTGACCTTGCAGCTGTTCTCCGAACATATGTAGGCACACGTCCCAGCGCCCCGCTAATGCAGCGCCAGTGTGTATGACATCTGTCGGGTGACAGTGCATTAAACCCCGGACTGGCCATGTCTTTTAGATCGTTATAAAGGGATCATCGAGCATCCCTATTTGAGAGCCAGTTTCTGCGATAGTGGTTGTTTTCGAATATCTAGTCGATACTTCCTATACCGCATACGAGCTGTTACTCGTGTCGGCAGGGAATGTGGCTTTGTCGTCCATATCGAGCAGAACCGTAGCTTCTGTAGGTATCAGTGTTGAGTTTGTGGTGTTGTTGTTGCATTGTTAGCCTTTTGTATGAGATCCCGTGGCGGCCCATTTGATACGGACGCACGGATCACTTTGGGATCGTGGGCAAGTTGTCAACGTGACCCGGGCACGAGACTGAACTTGGCACCACGTAGAAATCCAGATAGTTATGCGTTTAGGACATGCTGTCGAGACCCCGAGAGACTGGTTTTGAGTCTGGTGTACTCGATGAGTGTGTCGTGAGGATTTTCTTACCATAAGAAAGTGCGCTTATAGCAATGGCTATGAGTGACGATCTTGACGGTACCGTACGAGGTTCTGAGTACGGAATGAGGCGTTGTACGCCTCGAGTTCTAGTAAGAGAGGAAGTATCAACCACATTTGTTGGTCCTTTCGTGATTCTCGACCGAGTCGGCGTCTTAGCCTGACGGTTGACCCCATTACCGGAGCTTGCAAGAGTGCACGACCTGTTCAGTGCCTCGTGGAGAGGGGACAGATGCGCGACTCTAGGCACGAGGCGATCTTTGACGAGCTGCATGTGGGCAGAACCTTACCTTTGATGAGGTACCGGTGACCTACTGGATTGACGAATCCAGTAGGGAGAGTCTGGGAGAGGTACTCGTCAAAGTTCGGTGGGGTAACCATGGCTAGTGGGTGTGATTTGGTAGAGTGGGGAGTTTCGGACCGAGTATCCGAGTTTAGTGGTTGGAGCTTCTCTCTTGTGTTAGTTGTCCTGTTGGGATGATTTTTCTTGGATTTCCGGTGACAGAAATCGTTTAAGGAGGGTAGACTGTAATACCCCATTTATTTGTGGATTATTTGAGAATATTATTATTATTTTTATTGTTATTATTATTTTTGTGATAATACTTATATTTATTTTTTTTTCATGAATGCCATAATATTATTTATTTGCTAAAATGTGATTAAATGCTAAATGTCTAATTGTCTAATTGATTTTCGTGATTTACTAAATTATTAAATGTGAATAATGTGTATTAATATATATATGTAAAATATATATTGTTCGGTTTATTTTTATCGCGCGTTTGAATTCGTAATCGAGCCCGACGATATTCGTGTGAACCGAAATCGAGCCCGTGGCCGATTTATTTTTGCAAACCGAAGCCCGCGAGCCCGTGAAATCCGGCCCAAACCGAGTGTGTTGTGTCTTGAGCTTCAAGTCTTTAACCCTAAGTCTCTCTTAATCTCGCGCAAAATCAGATTAGAAAGGGAACCCGCAGCCTTCGTTTTTCTTACCTGTTAAACCCTCACTCACCCCCGATCAAATCTGTCGCCCTCATCACTCATCTTTTTCTCTCGCTCGGAAAGAGACATCCCATCATAAATCGATCACGAGTGATCATCAGAGAAGAGAAATCTGCTCATTTACCTCTCTTGCTTTTCACCGCAGTGATCATCATCCCTAATCCTCTCTTCATCGCCATCATCCTCCGCTCACCTGCAACTTCCGGTGCCTCCTACCACCACGAACAGCCGCGAACCAGCGAACCCTGACCGGCGAACCCTTCCCCTGATCACGAATCTCTGCTCTTCCGCCATCATCACGTCGAGAACCCTCCATCTCCGACTGCCATCAGATCGCCATGAACCAGGGCCCTAGCCGCGAGCAGCATCCTTCCCGGCGAGCAGCAGGTCCTGTCAATCTTCCTTAGCCGGCGACTTCAGAGAGGGTCGACCATAGCCGGTTAAACCCATAACAGCATAAGACCTTTGTCCGCTGGTGTTCGAGCAGGGCAGCGAGCATGAGTATTTGCAAGGAAGAAGAAGAAGTAAAGGCCAAGTTCGCGAGCAGCACCCCGTCGAGCCCATTCAAGCCATTTTTCCCCTCCCATCAACCCTCGTTCGTCTAGTTTTTCGATCGAGTCTCGAGAACGATACAAGGCTCGACCCATCTCGTTTAATTTTATGTATTATTTTTTATGTGTGCGATTATGTGAGACGGGTGTTGAACGTGTTGTGTAATTGTGAATATGATTTTATGTGATTACGTTTGAATATTAATGTCATATTATACGTGATCTTGGTCGATTCGTGCGAATCGAACGAGAACACGTTAAAAGTGTTAAGTTTCTATGGATTTAGGAACTTAGGATTATTTCAAACACAATGGCGCTGACCTTGTGTCGATCGGACTTGTAGATTGATAGTTATGATTTTTCGAAGGTTATAATCGCTGTTTAGAATGAAAAATTCATTATAAATCGAATACTTGTCCGATTTACTTGAAATTTTAGGATCAGTTGTTGTTTGTGAATCTGTAGCCTTTGTAAAATTTTCATGTTTTGTAAAGGTGCTTAGCTATTTTTAAAAATTAATTTGATTTATATTCAGTTTCTTGAAAAATGAATAATTAATTGTGGGGTGCTCTTTTCTGGCTAATTTTCGAATATGTTGTGTCCCAGGCATGATTATATATTTTATAAAAGTTTTAGAATTGTTGAACTGGGTTTTATAGATTTAATGATTTATTTGGTATTTTTGCCCGATTTTGTTTTAATTGTTATAAATTGTGCTGAAGCTGAAAAATTCTAAACATTTGTGGAGGTGCTTCGTAGGTGATGTTCAGCATGCTGTAAAAAGTTTGTAAGTTTTGGAGTTCATTTGAGGTTAGTTCTGTTGTAAGTGCGATATTTGGCTGAATGTTGTTTTAATTTTATAAAATCACTTGCTGAGTGTTAAATCCTGGTATTTTTATATGTTGTTGTTAATGTGTTGTAATGTTTTAGGTAGACATTTCGTGGCCTAAATCATCCATTATCATGTGCTTTTAATTTAAACTCGTTTTTGTTGAAAAACTTGTCTTAATTTTATAAAATCATGTACAATGAGTTGGAAGCTGAAACTTGGCCATTTTTCTTAAACCTAGGAGGTGAATTTTGTGTAAAATTTTCAGAGCCTGGCTCATAAGTTTGATATGCCTTCAAGTTCAAGTGGGAATTTGAGAAATTGTTTTGCTAAACTGGAAGTTGTTAAGTGTTGTTGACTAAATGTGCTACGTGTTTATTTGTGACCTGTTTGATTGGCATTCATTGGTGATTATGTGAAATTGAATGTGGGGTTTGATCGAGTCTGAGTCCTAGTGTTCCCATATCCACAGAACTTCACGAACTACTTGGTCGAACCGAGTTCGGCTAAGTCAACTTGTGAATTTGCTACATAGGTCTAGATTAAAGTGTTGACTTTAGTATCTGGACTTAATGTAGGTGTCGAGAGGTGTTGAACCTCGCCTCGTCTAGAGATTTGTGATTTGAACTGTAGCTGCTATCAGGTGGGTACATTTATGATGTATTCCATATTTATCGCACTTAATATTTCGTATAAATGCTTTGTTTTGAAAAATGATGTATGCGTGAGAACCCTAGTCTAAGTGTCCCGTATGTTAGTGCCTTTGAGGATGCATAAACAGTGAGAGGTCATCGGCCCGTAGATTCGGAGAGGTGACGCCCAGGTCCGTATGATATTCGTGAATGGGAAAAACATCTCTACTGTCTCCTGGAAAGGATCCCAGGCCCGTAGACATTCGGTGATGGGAAGGTTTCCAGTTACTTCCTTGCCGTGTGTGATCGGAAGGTTGTTGTATGTACATAGGAGGCTTGCGATAGGGCCAAGTAGGGAGTTAGACTGTTGGATTCTATGCATACTGAATACTATGGTTATGATGGTTTAAAATGTTATGCGAGATATACAGTGCGATAATGGTGAGCTTGTTGGTTATGCTCACCCCCATTATTTTCTTTGTTGTCTTTTCTCTTCCTTTGTTCTAGGTTGAGACGAGCTGGAGGCGGTGGCGTAGGACGAGCGAGATGGTGGTCATTATGTGTTGAAACCTATGCTTCCGCTTGAACTTAATACTTATTTATTTTGCTATTATGCTTTGAATTATTTACTGCTTCCACTTTTCGAACTAAGTTTAAGTATGTTGAACCATGATCATGCTAGACCTTTGGAAATGAATTTGAGACGTATGTTCTGTGGGATTGTTATTTCATAACTTGAGCATGTGTTGGTTCTTAGATTGTTGGTTGTGTTAAATTGTTGTGGTTAATAAGTAGCGCCCGATACTCGATAAATGTTTTAACTTGGACTAAAAAAAAAAAAATAACTTTGATTTTTTTTAAATCAATGCGGTAAATTCTTTAAAATAAAACGGTGCGTTACACACATACTCTTGAATAGGTACACTGAGAAAAAAGAAAATGTTGTGAAGCTTGTGGAGGAAGTAGTGTATAGAGCCTCAGACAAATTGTTTCCATACCCATTAGCCAGTGAGATAGTCACTGTCCAACGCTCACTAGCTTCTATCAGATACGTAAGCTATAGCAAATTACGCTTTTGCAAATAAAATGACATGTTAAGCACCATATGTTTAGGGTTAAAAGTTTACAAACACTGACTTAACAATCTTTTTGATAGACTAAAACCTGTTGGGTTGCTGGCAAGCTGAAATATTTGGGAGACAACAAGTGTTTGTGGACAGCTACTTGCAACAATTGCCGCAAAAATTATAATGTGTCTCCAAATACGCCCGTCAAATGTCGAAGTTGCAGGGAAGATACCCTTGTCGAAGCAAGGTTTTAATTGATCATTAAATAATTCCAATTTTTATAAATAAAATAAAATCAATCTACAGATGTATACTTATGTAGTTATGCCTTATTTCAAATAAAAGCTTCTCAGAATTTAAAACTTTTTACTATCTTAATTTTCATGTGCCTCATCTTCATTGTATGCCACCTGCCATTCTGCTTACAAAGCATATTTTGCAAATAAACAAAACTTATTTCCACACACCACTCAACCAAAACCAAATTAATTAACAGATTCTATATTTCCATTCTTCTGAACATTGTTCCTATACACTAATATTAACCTTGCTCTATTGTCTTCTACTAATATTATCTATTTATTTTAATATGTACTTTACACAGTAAGATACCAAATTTCTTTCTCAAAATTATAATAATTCTTTCATCATTATAATACTACAGAACTTATACATAAGTTATTAAACACCTTTGATATTAATAATAACTTTATCAATTGTTTAGAAAACTGTATATGCCTGAAACTAACACACATTACCTTTTATTTCATTCATAACAATTAGGTGTCGGTTGCCGATTGCAATTGAGGATGAGACAGGAAACATACATGCAATGTTGTATGATTCAGATGTTGAACGAGTGATTCCATTTAATGGGAACAACAGGTTATTTAACATATTTATTTACTATAATTTATGCAGGAACCAAAACAAAAATAGTACAAATAATTTACTGATATCGCTTATTGATATGTGCCTTCTCATGGAAACTGATTGCTTTAGTTATCCTTTTAACCATTTATAACTGTAATACTTCCTATGCTCAGCTTAACTGCTACAAATATTTGCCATCTTCTATGATCTACGCCTTTCTAATAAAACTCTTTTAGATTTTTTTTTATATTTTTTTTTGTTCTTTTTATTTTAGGTGCCTATAAACACACAAAACTGCAAATGACATTGTTTTCATATTTATCCATTTTTGGAGGATTCGCTTTGTATTACCAGCTGATTTCAATGTTTATGAGTTCTCGACAAACAAAGCAGCCAGTGTTGTTTTGGGTTCACATACAGATGCAGTCTATAGGGTTACTATGAACACAAAGTATAAAAGTCACAGCTCTGGTTAAAGGCTGGAAAATGAAAAAAAACTGCACTCATTATATTTACCATTATTTCTCTTTGTTGTTTTTTGCTAGGTTTTTGGTTCATTTTGGAAAACTGAGTTCATCATAGATTGTTGTTAAAGATGGGATTGAGATTTTCTTGCTTTATACACTGACCAAAGATGGGATTAAGATTTTCTTACCTTATACACTGAGCAAATAAAAAGACTATAGGGATTAGGGTTTTGTTACCTTCTATATTCATGTGTTGTTTATTGCAGTTGTTTTGTAGTATTTTGAGGGTAGTTGGTAACCGAGCTACCCGACCTCGAGTCGTTCTCAAAGGAAGACGGTTCAGAGCTTTGTTCACCACTCAATTGTCCAAATCACACAAAATGAGAAAATAAAAGCTAAACATGCTAATCAATGGGTTGGAGAGTGAATTAATGCTAATCGATGCTCGGAATTGAAAGCAACAAACAAACTAGAGAATTAAGCAATTAACACTACCGGAGTCTCTAAGCTATCAACATCAAACGAATCAACAACGAGAAGTATGCAAGTTCTAACACTATATCACTAATCCCAACCTTCTAACCTAAGTGATTAAGCTCTAAATAGAGTCCTAATCCTTAATCTAGATAGACAAGCAATTAGTCTCTACTAAAACAAGCATGAGCAATGATAAAGTCCAAGCATATCCTCCATCATCAAACAAACACTCAAATTCACCTTGAAAAATTCCATAAGTAAAAACGAGGCAAAAATCGAAGTAATGAGCTTTAAAAGTAAATACTCAATCTTCTATTCCGTGCTAGACGAAAATCAGAGTTAAAAGCTTGGAACTTGAACAAAATAAGAGTCGCTGGAAAATTCGCCGGAAAATGATGTCATAGAGCTCCCAAGAGAGAGAAGAGAGAAAACTAAAAAGAAAATAGCTATTCCCAAAGTGGGAAAGTGAAAAATGAAATCTAGATTATCAATTACAAAGGACCAAAATGTATTTATAGTGCAGCTCAAAACACACACTAGTTTCACGCATATTTACTAACAGATACCCTTGAGCTCGCCGGTAAATTCGCGGGTCGCGGGCAGGGCATGGTGTGGACTAGGCACGAGGTGGCGCGGGGAGAAGGTTGGTGCGGCGCGAGGAAAATCTGTACTCTCGACGTCGCGAGCGGGCTCGCGCGCGCGAACGGGGAGGAAGCCACTACTCTCGAGCTGGCGGGTGTCGTCGCGAGGCGCGGGCGCAGGGGAAGTGATACTCTCGACCTGGCGGCGGCTTTGGCGCGGCGCGGACATGGGGGCGACACAGGGCAAGACTGATACTCTCGATCCCGCGGCAGACTTTGCGCGCGCGGACGCGGGGACGGCACGGACTCGGCGCGAGGCAAGGGATTACTCTCGAGGTCGCGAAGGTCTTCGCGTGTCGCGGGTTCCGGGACAGCAGCATCTCGCGTCTATGAGGCACGGGTCCTGGCGCGCGGTCGCGAGTGGCCCTGGGCAGCGGCACCATGGCCCGAAATTCTCGGAATGGAGACGACTCGTACGATTGGTTCGAAACTTCTTGGGATTCTTTCGAAAATGCTCGTTTCTTGGAATTCAGTTCGACCTTTCTCTTCATCCACATAATAAATCTGAAATACACCCAAAAGCACGGAGAAGTACACCAAAAATAGAATAAAAGAAAAACAAGGAAAATACACGAAACACGATAAAATGGACCGGATGACCCTAAAACGAACCTAAAAAGACCACACTAAGACATATAAAACACACGAAAATAAACACCAAAAACACAATAAACAACTCCCCCACACTTAGCTTTTTGCTTGTCCTCAAGCAAACAAAATAGGAAGTAACTCGAAAAGAAACATCGAATGGTCCAAGGTTAACAATCATGCGAATATGAAGCTCTCCTTATCATCCGGTAAACCATTCAATCGAACTCAAATTCGAAAACATGTTCCCCACGAAGTAAATCCATACAAAACAAAAACTCGTCCCAAGTCATCTTACACATGATTTTCTCGATCAAAGCCTCCTTTTTCTACAAACACGTGCAAAAAGCTACATATGGTCTACTCAAAATGTAAAGTATGATTAGCAAGACCGAATAAGCCAACTCCCTTTCTTATTTGTTTGATTTTGCTTTTTCTACTTTTTTTTTTCCGTGAGCTTCTTTTTCCGAACGAGGTTTCCTAGACAATTCTTATTTAGGTATACCCTCGATTAGTCAACTCGAGTTCCCTAAACCGGTTTCCCGGGCTCATTATCCCATTTCACGAGGTGAATAGGGATAAGAGGAGCCTAGTCCGTACCTCCTCGCGAACTCACCTTTTATTTATTTATTTATTTATTTATTTATTTTTCGAAGGGAGTGGCACAAACGTACATTATAAATGTAATCACATAATCGCACAATCGATCGAGATGCACTATAAATGAATAGCATAACACGTTTACAATGATATCGAGCATAAGGTAAACCTATCTCAAGTCAATCAATCGAGAACAACAAGGGACAAAACAATTCCGTGGATTCATATGCGAGTCTCACGTTTAACAAACTATTGTCCAATTCAAAGGTACCATCCAAATCATCAAGTTCATAAAGCACAAAAGTTAACAATGACGCCAATCGACCGACTTATCTCACCACTTAATCATTTTGAGCCTTCAAACTCAAATCAAGCATCATGGAAGGGAATTGACACAAACACATAGAACACAAACAAAACCGGTCCAAAATGCAAAAATAAAACAACAAAAATGATAGAAATATCTCCCAAACATGCACAATCACGAAATCCCTCCCCCACACTTAAAACAAAGCAATGTCCTCATTGCTTAACCAAAAAGCATAGGAGAAAGCACGTAGTCATATAAGCTCATGTGATACACAAAACGAAACATAGGAAACGAAAATACAAAAGAAAGAAAACACGAAGACATTGAAAATGATTGTGTACTTGCTGGCCAATTTGGTGAGTGGCTAAAGACTGCTGAGACATATCCAGGGGGTAGAAGTTTGCAATCTGACAGCCCAGATGAAAAAGATTCTCCACTTAATAGGAGTCCTGTTCAGGAATCCTGGGTATCAGCAAATGCTAACCAACATGGAGAAGGTCCAGAGCAAATAAAGAGCCATGAGGCTAGGGGAGATAGTTCTAAACAACTAGGGGAAAGCCCTGGGAATGTTGGATGTCCACAGCTATCACAGAACCATGAACAGGAAGTGGGTGGTTCTGGTAAAGAGGCAATGATAATAGAAGAAACACAGACAGACAAGGTAGTTCCTGAGGTCTTTGGTCAGAGAACTGTGTGTACCTATAATCTGAGAAAGAAGCCAGATATTGGGTGGAGAAGAAGAGTACCATCACAGAGGAATGTGATATCTATTCCTGAAACCTCCTGCACACCACATGAAAAAGGTTCTATGAAGAGAAGCAGAGCTCTGATAATCTATGAGGGGGGCCAACCAGAAGAAGAAGGAGGTTCTGAGAAGAGAATGAAAGGAAATGGTGGACAATATTTGGTGGAGAAGGCCAGCCAAAAATGGCCCCACAGTGATCAATGAAGGTCATGGTGTGGAACTGTCGAGGTTTGGGTGGGCCCTCGACAGTTTCCCAGATCAAGGATTCGAGGAGAATTCATCACCCAAATATTATCTTTTTATCTAAGACTAAGAAATCTGTTCAATTTACTCGGACTGTGTGTAGGAAGTTGGGATTCCAGGATCGATGGCATTTGGAAAAACCTATTGGGACAAGAGGTGGTTTATTGCTTCTATGGGATCCTAATATTGAGATTATCCAAATTCTGGGGAATGAGTTTTGCTGTCAAGTGGAAGTGAGAGAGACTAATATGTCAGCAGGGTATTGGTTGGTTTTTGTGTATCTGAGCACTGATAGAAGGGAAAGAAATCATCAATGGGAATTTCTTGAAGCTAGTAAGGTTAAATGGGGACAATGCTGGATGATAGCAGGTGACTGGAATGACATAGTTTGTAATGAGGAGAAAAGGGGGGGGTGTGAGAAGGAGTGCTAGTAGTTTTGTTGGGTTTCAACAGTTTATTATGAATATGCAGATGCATGAAGTGGCTCAGAAGGGGTCGTTTTACACTTGGGGTAATAACAGAGCAAATGATGGATATGTGGAGGAGAGATTAGACAAAATATTTGTGTCTTATGATTGGCTGAACACTTTTCCTAATATGGAGGCATCAAACTACTATAGATCAGCCTCAGACCATAATATTCTGTTTATTGACACTGATAAAGAGATTGCCAGGAGACACAAAAGGTTTTCTTTCAGCAGACAATGGGCAGTTTTAGAAGGAGTGCAAGATGCTGTACAAGCAGGATGGACTGTGCAAGTTGAAGGGTCTTATATGTTCCAAGTGCACCAGAAAGTGAAAAGTACCAGAATGGCTCTTCTTGCCTGGCACAAGCCTCAACACAGAAATAGTGAAAGAATCATATCCGCTACCACTGCAAAGTTAGAAGAGATGAGGGCTGCTGGGAAAGACAGAGATTGGGAAGAATGGGCAGCTCTGAAATTTGAGCTGGACAATGCTTATCAGGAAGAGGAAATGTACTGGAGGGTTAAATCTAGAGCACTATGGCTGAAAGCTGGGGATCGAAATTCAAGATTTTTTCATGCTTTTACATCCCAGAGAAGGAGATCAAATACTATTACCAAACTTATTACCCCTTCTGGTGTTGTCTGTGATACTTATGAGACCATGGAGAGGCATATATCAAATTTTTACTCTGATTTATTCTCTTCTGAGGGTTCCAGTGGAGGTGATGAACTTCTTCAACATATTCCACACTCCATTTCAGAGGCTCTAAATAATGATCTTGTCAGAGCTGTGAATGAGGAGGAAATAAAGGCTGCAGTGTTTAGCATGGCTCCTGAGAAAGCCCCTGGGGATGATGGTATGTCTGCTCTGTTTTTTCAAAAATTTTGGCACATTGTGAAAGATGATGTTTGCAAGGCTGTGTGTAGTTTTTTTAGGTCTGGCCACTTACTGAAGAATTGGAAACATACTATTATAACTCTTATCCCTAAATGTATGTATCCTGACAAGCTAAGCAATTACAGGCCTATAAGTTTATGTGGTGTTTTGTATAAAATTATTGCTAAGATTTTGGCTGAGAGACTGAAATGCTGTTTGGATGTTTGTGTGAGTCAAGCCCAGACAGCTTTTGTTCCTGGTAGATTATTATTGGATAATATAGTTATTGCCCATGAAGTTTTTCATTTCCTTCATAGACATGTTTCTGGGCCAAATGTGTTCATGGCAGTCAAACTTGACATGGAGAAGGCATATGACCGTGTGGAATGGGAGTGTGTTAGAAAGGTTATGGGAAAAATGGGATTTCATGGGAAGTTTGTTCACTGGATTATTAACTGCATCTCTTGTCCTACCTTCTCTTTTAACTTGAATGGCAGAGTGTGTGGATATGTTACATCTAGTAGAGGACTTAGGCAAGGGGATCCTTTATCCCCTTACCTGTTCATTTTGATATCTGAAGTGTTCTCTGCTTATCTACAACATAAAATGCTCACTGGCTGTTTTAGGGGTATTAAAGTATCTAGAGAAGGGCCAATGCTTTCACACTTGTTATTTGCTGATGATGCCCTTATCTTCTATAAAGCTGATGAGAATCATGCAAGGTTGCTGTTGGATATTCTTCAAAAATACCAAACTTTTACTAGTCAGAAAGTGAATTTGTTCAAATCCTCCTTATTTCTGAGCAAAAACAGTTCTGAGCATTTGAAGGTGAGGATTTCTTCAATTCTTAATGGTGTTGTGGTAAAGAGGTCATCTAGATATTTGGGGTTACCCTTAGGGATTGGGGCATCTAAAATTGAGACTTTTCAGTTTGTGGTGGAAGCTGTTAGAGATAGGATTTGTAGCTGGAAAAATTCTTTACTTTCAACTGCAGGCAAGGAAGTCTTGGTGAAGTCTGTGTTATGTGCTCTTCCAGTTTATGTTATGTCTTGCTTTGTTTTGCCTGTTGGGTTGTGTAAAGAAGTATGCAGGTTAGTGGCTCAATTCTGGTGGAACAAGGGAGACCAACAGAAGCAGAACTTGCATTGGCTTTCTTGGGAAAAATTGTCTATTCCAGAGGATGAAGGGGGCCTGGGTTTTCTGGACATTAAGCTCTTTAATCAAGCTCTGATAATGAAACAGTTATGGAGAATTATTGAGCAGCCTGACTTGCTGATGTGCAGAGTTATCAAGAGTAAATATTTCACAAATTGTTCCATTTTTGACTGGGCAAAATCTGGGAATGCATCTTGGTTGTGGCAGTCTTGGGCTTCCTACCTTCCTTTGCTGAAACAACAGGTAAATCTTGTCATCAGAAATGGCCAAACCACTAGAATAAATGAGGTGAATTGGGTGCCAGGGGTTAGCTGCAGGAAACCTGAACTGCGAGTTGAAGTTGAGGGGAACTTATTCTGGGTGAAAGACTTGCTAAGTGCGGGAGGAATGCAGTGGGATCATACATTAGTCAGAGTTTTGTTCACTGAAGAGGATGCTGCTAAAATTCTAGATATCCAAACTCTGAATCCAAGAATAGCTGATAAATGGAACTGCTCATTCTTATGCAAAGGGAAGTTCTCTGTGAAGAAAGCCTATTCCAAGCTGCTGTCTGAGAAAATGTGCAGGAACAATGTGGCTGAGAGTAGTGCAATGGCAAGGGGCAACAAGAAAGCTAGGAGAAGATGCTGGGACCTAGCAGTTATGGGGAAGGTGAAGCACTTTATTTGGCAATGTATCTCTAATATTATCCCTGTTAACAGCAATTTGCAGGCTAGAGGACTTGAAGTTGAGGTCATCTGCAGGGTTTGTGGTGAAAAGGAGGAAACTCTGGAACATACTCTATTTCAGTGTAGGAAAGCAAGGGTTGTTTGGCAGCTGTCTCCTGTAATTTAGAACAGAGTTCCCCATGAGAGGATGACTTTTAAACATTGGTGGTGGTGGGTTAGTACCATGCCAATGAATGACACTTCTGAGGATCGAATTCAGCTTTCTACATATATCTTATGGTGGTTGTGGAGAGCTAGAAACCTATGGGTTTTTGAAGGAGTTTGGCAAGATGAAGTTTGGATCATCAGGGCTGCTTTGAGGGATTGGAGGGACTTCAACCATCACAACAACAGGTGAATGCATAAGTACCTTGTAGATGAGTTAGGTCTCGTGTCAGTGGCTTATCTAGTTGGTACTGTTAGTCTTGTTAGTGTTGTAATGCTTAGGGTTGGGTGCAGTGTCCTGAGTTTGCTGTTTCAGTGTTCTAAGTTTGCAGCTTTGTAGTGTGTTGGCAGCTTTGTAGGGCTTTTGTTTGTTGTATTGGTGCTTGGTTGTATTTGGTCTAGGAAGCTGTGGTTGTGGTGCTTCCTCTCAGTTTATCCAGGATGTATTTTTGTTCTGTATGTACATTAGCCTTTTGGGNAAGAAAAAATGTAGCCGAATGGATTGTAAATGTCCAAAGAGGTTGAAAAAAAAACGGAAAAAAAATGTGACCAATAAGGGTCGCACAAAAAAAAAAAAAAAAAAAAAGAAAAAAAACACGAAGACACACAAGAGAAATTAGGAGAAAAAGAAAATAAGAAAAGAAAATGCGTACTCTACATGGTGATGCATCACCGTGTGTCTAATGGTGTTCGTTCGATGGAATAGAGAAGATGAGCCGAAAGTCTTCAAGTGAAAGTCGAAACCATTCGAATGGTTGAACGTGGAGCACATGAACCGAGAAAAACTAGGGCCACATGTATGTGCCTCGGAGAGATAAAAACCGTGAATGCACAAACTCGACGAAGGCACATGTAAACGTGAAAAGTCAAAAATCGGGCCTCGAAACCGTCGATGGCATGAGCAACTCCTCATTGTGCAACGCATGAAACAATTTCCGGCACTAGCCGTATGTAGTAACCTACAAATTCCAAATCCGGCAACACAACACAAAAATTGGCACGCCCGGCAAGACGTGCCTATCAAGCACAAGTCCAACTCAAATCACCCACCACGACTACTCCGGCAAGAGTAGTGACCAAACTCGACACAAATGGACATGCAAGTATACCTCGGAAAATGGTGAGAAAATAGTCGCCGGAAGGTCGTAAATAGAAAGAGATGAAGTAGGGAGCTCCGGTCGCCGGAAAATAGACCAAGCATGTAGAGATGATGGTAAGGAACATGGAAAACTCGAAAAGGACTAACCGGAAGCTCGATGGGTGCTCGATCGCCGGAAAAAATGGTCGTCGAAAAAGTTCGCCGGATCCGAGGACGGTGGCCGAAAAAAGGTGCGGCCCGGCGAGAGGAGTCTGGGAGTGCCTTCGGATTTTGATAATTCCAAGTGAGTCGCCGGCAATTTGGTTTGAAGATTAAAGTAGATGTGTAGATCTAGAGCTTTTAGCCGGAAATCGGAAGCCTTCCCGCTGGAATTTTCACTTGATGTTCGGATATTATGTCGGCGTCGAGAAGAGCTTCGTGTTGATATAAAATTCATCACGATCGGAGGAAATTGGCCGGAAAAGGTGGCGGCCAGTGGCGGCGCACGGCGGCGGATGCTGGCAGGTACCGCCGGGCTTGGGTCGGGCTGGCTCGGGCCAGGGTAGGGCCATGGGCTGC